ACATGAATAAAGTGTATGTTTTGTAAAGCTGCAGTACAGTGTGAGTAGTTTGAATTAATCTGTACGATGCTTATTCAGGCCTTAGCACAGCCTATGGACGGCCTCTACTGTTGCTCTCAACACTTAAAGCCACCTGGTAAGGAGTGGCGCTTCTGCCAAGGCAAGTAGAATAATTGAGTTGTGTTATGTTATGAAAAATCCTGTTAGCAAGTGCTACTAGCATGATTCTTTAGTCACATGCAGTTCAAATAACATTTATACGATGTTTTTTTATGTAAACATGTACATATCCGTGTCATATTTACATGTATTTACATCAGACAAATACACTAATTTTACACACATTTGCGTGTCAAAAAAATAGATAATTATCTTCGTTTTACTCTTATTGGGCACTACTAACCCTAACAGTGTCAAAATATCTTAACTTTAATCGCTTGCCAATTTACCCTAAAAACCCTCGCTTCTAACACTACGCATAACCGCAATGGAGCGCAACATTAATTTCCCTATGGTATTTTTGTGTTTTGTGGGGCTCATTTCAAATGAGTCATTATCTCAGCTTCTAGGCAAGTTCCTGCCACATTTGAAATTTCGTGGTCATACCGAACGAAAAGGCCTCTGGAATTATTCATCTAACAATTCAAGTCGATACGCTCTCCTCTGCCCTCCTTTAAGGACTGGCATATAACAGTAAGCGTCCGCGATTGTTCACCGTTTGCACTATTTTGCTCTCTAGAAAAAGGCCTTTTTTTGGCATTTTTTTCGCTGAAATTACGGCAGGTCTAGATAGCATTATGCACGCAAGTTGGATGCCTCGTGGACGTGCGAGAAAGCATTAGAAGTAAAATTATTTTTGTTGTGTATTCGTGAGATTCGCGTCAGGTGGCGTAGTCACAGCGACGCGGCTTGGTGTTTTTTGTGTATGAAATTGTGTTCAGACAACTTTGCAGAAATTCGCTATCATAGAGCTGGCAAAAGTGTTCGAGGGGAGCATAGAGCATGAAATCTGTAGTTATTTAACATGAATAAAGTGTATGTTTTGTAAGTGCAGTAACAGTGTGGTGAGTATTTTTAATTAATTTCTGTTCGATGCTTATTCAGGCCTGCAGCCTATGGACGGCCTCTACTGTTGTTCAACACCTATAGCTCTTATATAGACAATGCTGCCATCTAGTGGTGTTTCCTGTAAATTATGAGAGGCATAGCATTGTGCAATTCGGCCCAACAGATTAGAATTTGCAAATTTATTCCTGGTATACTACTTCCAAATACTAATAGGTGTACCATAATCACAGAGTGTAGCAGTGCACCAATACAAGGGTTTTTTTTCCTATCAGCTTACAAGACTGCGCTACACCTTCGAGTAAGCATGTATTTCTCTTGCAATGCTCCTGACACACCCACCTATACTGAATTACACGTACCTTTTGTAACCCTGCGCACATGGACGACCCAATCACTGAAGTTGTAAGCCATGCCTAGGGGCAGATGCGATGACAGTCCATGTCCTGGGAAATCGATCGCCACTACGTGGAAACCTGAGCCAAGAAAACAGCAGCAAGATTACACTCTCATCAGCTGCAGTGACAATGATACGCTTCTAACCGACAGCCTTGCGAATCACACCCCTGGCATGGCCAGTGCAAACAATAATAACTTTTTTGCCTCGTGCGTCTAGCCCGAATTCCCCGCGATCCTGAATAGGTCATGTGAAATATTTCCCCAACTTTTCATGGTTACTTTACTGTTCCTGGTAGCAGATCTGCTAACCTCAGAAAGAGTGGAAAACCCAAATTCCGATTAGTTGTAGATGTAGAGTTATGTCGTAGATTTCACTCACCAGGTGGGAAATACTGAACTAGAGGTTCAAATGAGTTAGCATTGTCCTGCCATCCATGAAGGCAGAGCACCTTAGTAAGGGATGAAGCATCACCCCACTCTCGTGCTGCGATGTGCCCCCATGGCACAGCGATCCGTATCTCCTTGTGTTCTCGCTAAAATAACACAATAATTCTTAATTGCTACATAAGTGGACAGAGTCAAATTTTTCATAATATAGTGACATGCCTGGGTGGGAAAATTTGCTTTTTCCACTGCGATCAGGAGTGTTGATCTGTTGATTTGATCAACTTGTCTCTCCATCTTCGTTATAGTGCCTTGGACTTTTGAAGACTATTCTTTATGAGGTTATGAGGTTAACGTGCCTATGGTCACCATATATGTGCATGCGCTCGAGTGTTCGTATGCATGAGTGTGAGTCAACTTGTTACCTGCATGTTGGACACCTGTGTGTTTGGACTTTAGCAACTTCTCAGCAGCGTTTAGATAGTTTAAGTGAGAGTGCACATCGTACACAGATCGTCATATCACATCGTACAGAGAGTACGTGCATATCGTCAGTGACGCCATATTGGCCGGTAGGAAAGTGTATTTGCGCCAACATCCTTGCTAATGCAACCTATTTAAACACATCCAGCCACCTGCACAGGTAGATGCCATACCCGAGTGTAATGGCAGGCCTGGACTAAAATGCTACCACAGTTAAATTGTGACCTATACTGTAGAGCTAGTTAGATGAGACAGTGGCCTCAGCGCCTCGTGCTAAGAATGATATAGATGGCAGAACCAGTCTCCAGATATAAAGCATATTATACAGTACAGTTAAAGCCGCACAATGCGCATCCAAACGCTAATTTCTCCAGTACTAGACTAGCAAATACTTCGTGTCATGCATAATCCCACTACCTTATGACAAAATAAACTCTAGTTCCTCCCATTTCACTGCGCGTTGTCTTATAAAAGATATTTGAAAATGCCACCAATGTTGTTCAAATTCT